TCCCCCTTCCCCCCCAGGAATTTTTTCGAAATTTTCCCCCCCCCCTGCACGCGTCCTTTCCCCCCCCCGGAAGCAACCACCACCCCCCCTTCGGGATTAATAGGCGTCGCACTGCCACCCCCCTAGACACTTCCTAAACCCTTCCTAAACACTTCCTCCCGCGGACCCCGCGACGCCCCGCCCCCCCCCGAAGCGCCCGTTCGCCTCGCAGGCCTCCTCTTTGGCAAGGAGGCTCCCTACCCCTTGGAATTTCCACCCTCGCGGCTTTTTGGGGGGGGGGGGAGAGACCGAGAGGACACGAGGGCAGTGCAGTGCAGCGGGATACGGCGGAAGGCAGCGAGATATGGGGAGATGTGGGGAGAGTGGGGAGACGTGGGGAGACGTGGGGAGGGATTCCGCTTCTAGGTCAGGGTGCGGCTCTTCTGCGAGAGGAGCAGGAGCGCGCCCGAGTCGCAGAGGAGCGCGATGGTGGCGCCGTCCGGCGAAGGCACTACCTCGCGGTAGCCCGCCTCCTCCCTGCCCGGGAGCGGCGGCATCATCGTCGCTCGGCCGCTGTGCAGGTCGACGCAGGCCCACTGGCGCCCTCGGCCGCACGCGAAGGCTCGCGCGCCGTCGGAGGAGAAGGCGGCGGAGGCGACCTGCAGCGCCGTGGTGAGAGCTGATCAGAGCTGCTCACACGTAGTCGGAGCTGCCCACCACCGGCCGGCCTGAAGCTTCGGCAAGTGGACAGACTGCAGCAGCGTGTTGCGGGTGCCTGGCGACAGGACGACAGAGGTGGGCTATGGGTCGCGATGGCAAGGTGGTACGGCTGCAGCGGCGTGTTGCAACGCGCCGTCGACGCGGAAAAGTCTGGGAAGTGTCTAGGAGGTGTCTAGGAGGTGTCTAGGAAGTGTCTAGGAAGTGTCTAGGAAGTCTCTAGGAGGTGTCTAGGGAGTGTCTACGAAGTGTCTAGGAGGTGTCTAGGAAGTGCCTAGGAAGTGTCTAGGAAGTGTCTAGGGAGTGCCTAGGAAGTGTCTAGGAAGTGCCTAGGAAGTGTCTAGGAAGTGTCTAGGAGGTGTCTAGGAGGTGTCTAGGAAGTGTCTAGGAAGTGTCTAGGAAGTGCCTAGGAAGTGTCTAGGAAGTGTCTAGGGAATGTCTAGGGAATGTCTAGGGAATGTCTAGGAAGTGTCTAGGAAGTGCCTAGGAAGTGTCTAGGAGGTGTCTAGGAGGTGTCTAGGAGGTGTCTAGGAAGTGTCTGGGAAGTGTCTAGGAAGTGTCTAGGGAGTGTCTAGGAAGTGCCTAGGAAGTGTCTAGGAAGTGTCTAGGAAGTGCCTAGGAAGTGTCTAGGAAGTGTCTAGGAAGTGTCTAGGAGGTGTCTAGGAAGTGTCCAGGAAGTGCCTCGGAAGTGCCTAGGAAGTGTCTGGGAAGTGTCTAGGAAGTGCCTAGGAACTGTCTAGGAAGTGTCACCCGGACGAGGTCAGCAGCACGTTGGCCGGCTAGGAAGTGTCTAGGAACTGCCTGGGAAGTGTCTAGGAAGTGTCTAGGAAGTGTCACCCGGACGAGGTCAGCAGCACGTTGGCCGGCTAGGAAGTGTCTAGGAACTGCCTGGGAAGTGTCTAGGAAGTGTCTAGGAAGTGTCACCCGGACGAGGTCAGCAGCACGTTGGCCGGCTAGGAAGTGTCTAGGAACTGCCTGGGAAGTGTCTAGGAAGTGTCTAGGAAGTGTCACCCGGACGAGGTCAGCAGCACGTTGGCCGGCTAGGAACTGCCTGGGAAGTGTCTAGGAACTGCCTAGGAAGTGTCTAGGAAGTGTCACCCGGACGAGGTCAGCAGCACGTTGGCCGGCTAGGAAGTGTCTAGGAAGTGTCTGGGAGGTGCCTAGGAAGTGTCTAGGAAGTGTCACCCGGACGAGGTCAGCAGCACGTTGGCCGGCTAGGAAGTGTCTAGGAAGTGTCTGGGAGGTGTCTAGGAAGTGTCTAGGAAGTGTCTAGGAAGTGTCACCCGGACGAGGTCAGCAGCACGTTGGCCGGCTAGGAAGTGTCTAGGAAGTGTCTGGGAAGTGTCTAGGAAGTGTCTAGGAAGTGTCACCCGGACGAGGTCAGCAGCACGTTGGCCGGCTAGGAAGTGTCTAGGAAGTGTCTGGGAGGTGCCTAGGAAGTGTCTAGGAAGTGTCACCCGGACGAGGTCAGCAGCACGTTGGCCGGCTAGGAAGTGTCTAGGAAGTGTCTGGGAGGTGCCTAGGAAGTGCCTAGGAAGTGCCTAGGAAGTGTCTAGGAAGTGTCTCGCCGTCGACGCGGAAGAGTCGAAGCGTCTTGTCGAGCCCCGCCGTGAGGGCGAGCTGACCATTCGGGTGCCAGGCGACGCAGCTGACGGCGGAGTTGGAGGCGGCGGCGGCGTTGAGGTCGACGGTCCGCTTCACGGCGAGCTCCTGTGCAATCTCAAGCACGGGAGATCACGCGAGGCGTCTCCGAGAGTCTCCGAGATCAGCCGAGATTACACTCCGAATGCCGTGCCCGAGATCACGCGAGATCGCCCCGAGATTTCCCGAGATCACCCGAGATCACCCGAGAGTACCCGAGATTACACGGCGAACGCCTGGCCCGAGATCGCGCGAGATCACCCGAGACTTCCCGAGATCACCCCGAGACTTCCCGAGATCACCCCGAGATTTCCCGAGATCAGGCGAACGCCTGGCCAGAGATCGCGTCCGAGCGGCCGAGAAGCGACGGAGCGCCGCGCAGAAGCGCTTCCTGCGCCTCGGCCGCGAGCTGCTCGACCGCCCCGTCCGAGCCCTCGTCACTCGACGCGCCGCCTGTCGGTTGCTTTGGTCGCCGCTGCTTCCCCTTCGCCCCGCGCCGCGCCGGCATCTCCGCCCACCCCGTCGCCGGCTGCGTAGCCGCGAACCTGCGGCGGACGAAGAGGCGGCGGCGTGAGGGGCGGGAGGTGGGGGCCGAGTGCAGGGAGGGCGGCTTGCAAGACGGCGGAATACGCGCTGGAGACGGTGTTAGCGCTGGAGAGACGTCTGGAGTAGAGTACAACTCAGAGCGCGGCTCCATCTAGAGAGGCAGACTGCGCGCGCAGCCGAGCCTCATACTCTTTCGCTCATCTAGAGAGGCAGACTGCGCGCGCAGCCGAGCCTCGTACTCTTTCGCTCATCTAGAGAGGCAGACTGCGCGCGAAGCCTCGCCTCGTACTCCTTGCCTCCAAGCACGCGCTCCGAAGGGCGGGTGCGCAGCTTGCGCAGCCGCGAGCCGCCCGCCATGACGTCGACCTGCGGGAAGGGTGCAGGAGAGGTCTGCGAAAGGTCGCGCGCAGCCGCGAGCCGCCCGCCGTCACGTCGACCTCCAGCTCGTCGTCAAGGAAGTGTCTAGGAAGTGTCTAGGACGCGTCTCGGAAGCGTCTAGGAAAGGTCGACCTGCAGCTCGTCGTCGTCGTCGTCCTGCCACGCGGGCGCGGGGTCGCGGCCGCCGTCGCCCTCGCCGCCCTCCTCGCCGCCCTCCTCCTCCTCCTCCTCCTCCTCCTCCGCCTCCTCCTCGCCCTCTTCCTCCGCCTCCTCCTCGCCGCCGCTCTTGCCGCCGCTCGGCTGCTCGCCGCCGGACAGGCCCTCGTCGCCCTCGCCGTCGGAAGCAGCCGCCGCGGCTCCGAAAGCGTCCGCGTCGGCCTCCTCGATCGCAGCGCTCGCTCCGCCCTCACTGAAGACCAGCGACGCCAGCATCCGCTCACGCGCCGCGTTTCCGCTGCGCTTGCGGCGCCGCTTGCGAGACGGAGCACCCTCGGCCGATGGCGCGAGAGGCTCGTTCTCGGGCCGCGCATCGACGACAAAGTCCATGCTCACTGCCGTCGCGGAGGCCGCGTGCACGCGTCGAGCGCGCGTCGAGACGGGCGCGCGAGGCACGTCGCACGGCCGTGCGCAAAAAAGAATTTTACAACCAAAAAGAATTTGGAAACCCCGTGGCGCATCATTGAACCCTCCCATACGGACCAGGGGGTTGTGCGCCGGGCCCTCCTGCTCGGCTCCAGCGAGTAGACAAGTCTTGTCATCAACAGAGTAGATGGATCTGACCTCGGGACCGTCTGTGGGTGTGGCGAGAGGTGGGTCGCGTCCCCCGATTTCCGTCAACCCAGCATCCACACCCTTTACATCGCGAGCGCAGCGCCAGCAGTGTCAGGTTACAGGCTGAATAAAGCCGTACAGGTATCGTATGTGCACGCTGGCCATGGGCTCGTTGTGCGAGTATATGGGACACGATGTCTCAAATATGAGAGGTTTTGACTCCTACCGGCTCCTGACGCTATCCCTGGCAGCTCTAATGACCAGGATCAGTAGTGCTATGATAGAGGGTGCCCATACTAGCGCAGGAGCTGCCACACTCGCCCGGAACGGCTCCCTCTGGGGCCGGTTCCGCAGCCCGTGAGTGCCGACAGCGGGGCCGTGCCGCGGGTGCCTACTGCTGAGTGCCACAAACACTGCGCCGTCCCGCCATCACCTACAGGCTGTCTTGTGTGATGGTTGGGATGTCCAAACGCCACCATCTTGGCTCTTGCGACCTCAAACCCGCGAGCTGTATGGGTGGTCCTGACGTCGACAGACGCCCGAGGACCACGGTGAAGCTGAGCCGGAACGCGTCGACAAGTCTCGTCTAAGCCCGTTGCGGTCGCCGGCTGAGTCGCTGTGCACGGGCCGGTACCTCAGGCGTCACCTCCGCAGCCTCAGGTCTCACACTCCATCACCTCCGCCAGGACGCTGTCGGTGGCACGCTCGGCGGCGAGTTTGCTGCAGCCCCACAGCGAGCGCGGCGTCGAGCCTACCCACTCCAGTTGGTTCGGCACACTCGGTGGGGTCCACCGAGTGTGCCGAACGCGCGAGCGGTGCGTCCCGGCAGCCCGCGCTGGCTGCGGAGCTGCAACAAACTCGAGACACGCTTTTTTGGGACACTAGCATACCTTGCGCGCACGCGCGCCAAATTTGTTTTTCTGTCTGCAACAACAGCCCGAGGGGTGAAATGTCTTTGTTGTCTCTGTAACGAAGGGCCCGCCGCTCCGCCTACGCCGGCGATGACCCTCTCGGCAGAGCGACATCGCGACACGCGAGCACCGGGCAGAGAAGGGGACGCAGAAGCGGTTGGATGGAGAGGCAGCCGGCGCACGAGGAGAGGCAGCCGATGGAGCCGACGAGGTGAGTAGACACGAGTTTACCATTCTGCCCGGGGGGGGGGGGGGGGGGGGTACTAAACCCCCCCCCCCCTGGTACCTTGGGTCGCGTGGTGCCCCGCGCGGGCCGCCTGCGGCCCCTCGGGCCGGGGGGGTGCCCCCCGGGGTTTCGTACCCCCCCCCGGCCCAGACAGAGGCATCACAATCATGCTCTGGCCAGCGTCTGGTGGCTCGGCATTGCGCAACACACGCCGCAATCAGCCTGAGAGCAGATGATGGGGTGGGCGCGGGTGGACGAGAGTGGAGCCGAGTTGGGTGGGAGAGGGAGCACGCACGTGCAGCGGTGCCGAGAGTGGGTTGAGATGGCACCGCCTGCGGCCGCCCGGGCGGCGACGGCTTGCGCAGGTATGTTGTTCATGTCCTTATCCGCCGCCGCTTGGCTGCAGCAGCCAATGACGCCGCCCGCCTTTGCGAAGCGGCGTCTGGACGCGCTTGGCGGTTGACGCCGGCCCGCCACTGCGCCTCGTGCGCGTCCACCTCCGTCGAGGTCGACGCGTCGAGATCGGAGCGCATCACCGAGATGCCAGAGCCCGCCTTCGCCGACATGATTCCCCGCCCGGATAGCTCGGTGAGTGTGCCGTCGCCCGAAACGGAAAACCGGACACGGGAAAATATATATGTAGGAAGTGGAACCAGAAGATTGGGGGGGGGGGGGGTACGAGTTGGCGGGACGAGGGCGGCGAATTGCGTGGTACTGCGTTCGCTGCCGCTGGCTGCACCTAAGGTAGGATTTTCGACGCTTTTGTCCCATATACTCGCACAACATGCCCATGGGCCATGGGGGCACTCTAGCATGCGTCACTGTGACACACATGCACGCGAGCGAGCTGACGTGAGCACGCTAGATCTAGACTCAACTGCTACGCCGAAAGTAACCCGCTCGTCTCTTGTTGCTCCCCCAGCCCCCTCGCCGACACCACCTCCGCCACCGCCGCAGAGACCGGGATCCACAGCAGGTCTCCAAACACCTGTTCACAGCGGGAGGTGTGAATAGACGCCGTTCACAGGAGACCGGGATCCACAGCAGGTCTCCAAACACCTATTAATCATTAATTAACTCTTAATTAACTCCTGATTAACTCTGGACTAGACCGGGATCCACAGCAGGTCTCCAAACACCACAATCGCGCAGAAGGTCCTCGGCCGGACGCCCGGCAGGTAGGCGGCGAAGAGGCCGAGTGTGCCGGTGGCGCACGGCGGCGCCTGGCGGTGCAGGAAGAGGCGTAGCGCCGACCCCTCCAGGTAGCCCTCAACCCGTGCGGCTGCTCTGGCCAGGCAGGAAGGCAGACCCGCCAGCTCCGAGAAGCGGCACCTGTTCACAGCGGGAGGTGTGAAGAGACGCCGTTCACAGCAGACCCGCCAGCTCCGAGAAGCGGCACCTGTTCACAGCGGGAGGTGTGAAGAGACGCCGTTCACAGCAGACCCGCCAGCTCCGAGAAGCGGCACCTGTTCACAGCGGGAGGTGTGAAGAGACGCCGCTCACAGCAGACCCGCCAGCTCCGAGAAGCGGCACCTGTTCACAGCGGGAGGTGTGAAGAGACGCCGTTCACAGCAGACCCGCCAGCTCCGAGAAGCGGCACCTGTTCGCAGCGGGAGGTGTGAAGAGACGCCGTTCACAGCAGACCCGCCAGCTCCGAGAAGCGGCACCTGTTCACAGCGGGAGGTGTGAAGAGACGCCGTTCACAGCAGACCCGCCAGCTCCGAGAAGCGGCACCTGTTCACAGCGGGAGGTGTGAAGAGACGCCGTTCACAGCAGACCCGCCAGCTCCGAGAAGCGGCACCTGTTCACAGCGGGAGGTGTGAAGAGACGCCGTTCACAGCAGAACCCGCCAGCTCCGAGAAGCGGCACCGCCCGTCGGTGCAGGCGAGGGAGACGCCGTACACACCGAGAGTCGACGAGACCGACGCGGCGTAGCAGAGGGGCACCTGCCGAGATGACCCGAGATTACCTGAGATTACCCGAGACTGCCCGAGACTACCCGAGACTGCCCGAGACTGCCCGAGACTGCCCGAGATTACCCGAGATGACCCGAGATGACCCGAGATTACCCGAGATAGCCCGAGATGACCCGAGACTGCCCGAGGTTGCCCGAGGTTGTCCGAGACGGATTGGCACAGGGGCTGTGTTGGTATGCTCGGCATCGGGGCGGTGAAGGCATGAGCTGTTCTCGGTCCCGGGGTTGTCCTTTTGCGTGAAGGGAGTGGGGTAGGGCGAGGGGGGCACCGCTGTCCTCCACCCCACCGCGAGGTCGAGGAGGAAGACGTAGAGCGGCATCGGGAAGGCAAACGAGAGGGAGAGAGCGAACGTGAAGCCGAAGAGCCTCAGCCACCCGTGCAGCGTCCTAGACACTTCCCGGATACTTCCTAGACACTTCTAGGAAGCCGAAGAGCCTCAGCCGCCCGTGCTGCGTCCTGCCGCCAGCCCTCAGCGCCTCGCGGTCGTTGACGAAGCTCTCCATCGCGGCCTTGCCGCCCGTGGCCGCCATCACAACCAGCACAAGGACCATCACCAGCACCGGCGCCAGCGCCTATGCAGTTTGCCGCGCCGCCTCCTGACTGCCTGCAACGCTCGCTGCTGGCCGCGGCGACCGCTACTAGCCGCAGCACTCGCTGTCGCTCCGCCGGAAGGCACTGCCACCCCCGGCCGCAGCATGTCTAGCGCCGTGCCTTGCCGTCTGTTTGGTGCTAGCCGCGGCGCACGCTGCTGGTCGCACTCGCATCGCACCAGCCCGGCTGCACTGATAAGCGTCTTCCGGATGTCGTGTCTAGTCCATCGGTGGAGCAAAAGTGCTGAGTGCTGTCTGTGTGAGCTTGAGCGAGCGGCTGGCAACGCGCGCCTTGAGCGTGCGGATGTTTGGACCGGCCTTGCGCTCGGTATCGATGATGGCTTGCTCTGTATCAATCATATCTATCGGCGGCAGACTCCGAAAGAATTCAACGAAAGACCGGCCCTGGATGTGAGGTTACCGACTGCACTCCAAGTGCTCCAAGAAAAGAACTCTCTCCATCATTTATTTCGCACGCCGCCTTATACAACGAAGCCCTGCAGCACAAGACGCAGATGCCCGTGACGGACGAGGAGGCCCGGGCTATCCTCCAGGCGCGAGGGAGGGGGTCGCGAGACGCCCGTGACGGAGGAGGAGGCGCGGGTCATCTTTCGGGCGCGGGGGGACGTCGGGCGCGGCGGGGCTACCTTTCAGGCGCGGGCGCGCGGGCGCGGCGGGCGCGCCACGGCATCGCCGGCGCTGGCGAGCAAGGGCGGCGAGAAGCTATCGCGGCGTGGGAAGAAGGCGGTGGCGAAGGAGGCGGGCGAGGTGGTATCACGCGAGGAAGGCGAGGCGATTTATCGCGCGACGCTCGAGTCGCTGTTGGCGTCCACCGGGTGGACGCCGCGCGCCGCGGAGGAGATGGCGCGCGAGGAGCAGCGTGCGCATGTTCGGCAGATGCGCTGGGCAAGGGAGCACGGCCGGGGGGAGCCGGTCCGGTGCTTTGACGCGGAGGAGTACGACGAAGGCGACGACGCTTTCGACGCGCTCTTCGACGGGGGCTCGGGGGACGGGTGGGATTCCCCCTCGGGGGGCGGCGCCTTCTTCTAGGCGCCCGCCTTGACCCAACATAGAGGGCGTTGTGGGCCTAGCTTTTGGGTAATATAAAAAAGAGGAGCCCCGATATCGCACAGTGATGACAGTGACATGCAACGGGGTCCCAGGGAAGGCGAGCAAAAACCTTATCGCGCGCGCTAGACGCCGAGTCGGAGGCCGCACCGGAACATGATTTACAAACTTGATTTACAAACCTGTATAAGGCTGTGTATGCATATGGCGCCGGCCACCGCGACCACCGCGCCCTCGCCAGAGACGCCGCCAACCCGCCTCCTCGACCTCCCCACGGAGCTCCTCGTGCGCGTCGTCTCTTGCTGCGACCCCGCCGACATCGCTCACGTGGCGGCCGTCTCGGTGCTCTTCCACGCCTCGCTCGCAGAGGAGGGCATCCGCTTGCGCCTGCAAGAGGCCGGCTACGCGCTGCCGGCGCAGCCAGAGGGCGAAGGCTGCGCCGTGCGGTGGCTGTGCGTCTATGCCTTGCTGCGCGAGTCCAACCCGCCGGCGAGGCTGGCGGCGGGCGGACAGCACAGCGTCTTCATCGACGGCGAGGGGCGGCTCTCGTCGTGCGGCACGGCTGCGGAGGGCGAGGAGGATGACGACGAGGACGACGAGACCGCTGGGGAGGAACTTCCAGGCCTTCTCGGCCACGGCGAGGGCGTGCTGCAGCTGAAGACGCCGACCCGTCTCCCGTCGCTCCTCGGAGGCGAGCTCGCGATCGGTGTGGCGGCGTCACGATACTTCAGCCTCGCTCTCTCCGCGTGCGGCAGCGTCTGGAGCTGGGGCTGCGGCTGGCAGGGCAGGCTGGGACACGGCGACCAGCAGATCCAGTGGCAGCCCAAGAAGATTGAGGCCTTTGCTGGCCAGCGCGTTGTCGCTGTGTCGGCAGGAGGCCACAGCCTCGCCCTCACCGCCGACGGCGCCGTCTGGAGCTGGGGCAGTGGAGCCTGGGGCCGGTTGGGCCACGGCGACCAGCAGCACCAGCTGCTCCCCAAGAAGATCGAGGCCTTTGCTGGCCAGCGCATCGTCGCTGTGTCGGCTGGATCCGACCACAGCCTCGCCCTCACCGCCGACGGTGCCCTCTGGAGCTGGGGCTATGGAGCCTTTGGCCGGCTGGGCCACGGCAACGAGCAGCGCCAGCTGCTGCCGAAGAAGATCGAGGCCTTTGCTGGCCAGCGCGTCGTCGCTGCGTCGGCTGGATACGCCCACAGCCTCGCCCTCACCGCCGACGGCGCCGTCTGGAGCTGGGGCTATGGAACACTTGGCCGACTGGGCCACGGCGACAATCACGACCAGCTAGAACCGAAGGAGGTCGAGGCATTGGCGGGGCGGCGCGCCGTCGCTGTGTCGGCTGGAATGTCGCACAGCCTCGCCATCACCGCCGACGGCGCCGTCTGGAGCTGGGGCGATGGAGACGATGGCCGGTTGGGCCACGGCGACGAGCAGCGCCAGCTGCTGCCAAAGAAGGTCGAGGCCTTTGCTGGCCAGCGCGTCGCTGTGTCGGCAGGGGAAGACCACATCCTCGCCCTCACCGCCGACGGCGCTGTCTTTACTTGGGGCGCTGGCGGACTCGGCCGCTTAGGCCACGGAGAGGACTTGTCGAACCAGCTGCTGCCCAAGAAGATCGAGAGCTAGGTCCCACGCGAATGTGCTCGGCGCGAGGCAGCCCTTGCCGGCGCGCGCAGCTACGATTACCCGCGTGAGGCCGCCAGTTGCGGTTGTCTTCTCTGTTCATTGCTGTCGGGGACGACGAGCGACGTGGGCCTGGGGCTCCTGGCCGTGTCCCCGGGCGTGGAGATGCGAGTCGGGTTGCCCCCCCCCCCCCCCCCCTCCCGTTCCCTGCTTGGTCGGGCACGTTGCCCACCGAAACTTATCCGCTTGTGTGGAGACGGTACGTATATATTGCTATTGGACCTCTTGTCTCCTCACCTTACTTTCCTCAGCTTACTACTTCTTTCTGCGGGTCACACGCTCGCATCAAGGATCTACCCTACAGCGATGAGAGTCTATACACACACAAAACAGATGACGACAAGTTGAAGTAGCCCCTCTCATGCTGTGTAGGACTCCAACACGCTCCCTTACCTCTCCACACCACACACAAGGCCAGGGCCACGCGCCGCCAGCTCACCGCTCCATCGGCACGTACGCCGCCGGCGCGGCCGCCGAGCGGTAGACGTGCACGCCCGCCGACGACTCCCTCCGCCGCGGCCGCGCCGACGAGGCGGCCGGCGGCAGCGGGGCCGTCTCGTGCAGCCCGCGCGGGTTGTGGTCGGACAGCGCCTTGAGCGCGCGCGAGCGCCGGCGCGGCGTCGGCGCCGGCGTTCGCGTCGGCGCGATCGGCGACAGCGCGACGCTCGCGACGACGGGGGTGGCGGCGGGAAGGGCGTCTCCCGACATCTCGCGCCGATCTCCCGACATCTCGCGCCGATCTCCCGGCATCTCCCGCGACGCGAGCCGCACAGCCTGCGCTGCCTGCTTCACCGCCCGCTCCGCGCTGCGCACGACTTTTGACGGCGAGCCGGAGGCGGAGGAGGAGGCGGAGGCGGAGGCGGAGGCGGAGGCGGAGGAGGAGGAGGAGGAGGAGGAGGAGGGTGGGTGCTGCGCAGTCGCGCCGTATGCCGCCGGGGCGGCCGAGTGCTCCTTTTGCGAGAGGCGACTTCCACCGGTTGCGCACCGCGTCGTCGCTCCGGCCCGGCAGCACGTCGGCGATCTGCTTCCACTTTGGACCGTGCGCAGCCACGCCGGCGCGAATGCTCGCATCCTCAGCCTCGCTCCACCGCTCTATCGGAGCGCGAGGCTTGCGCGCCGCCGCTCCTCCTCCTCCTCCTCCTCCTCCTCCTCCTCCTCCGCCGCCGCCGCCGCCGCCGACGCCGCCCCCTCCGCCGCCGCCGCCCGGCTCGTCGACGGCCATGCCGCAGACCTCGTCGTCAAAGAGGGGAGAGCCGTCCGCAGCGGGCGGCAGGTCGATGGCGGAAAAGGGGGAGCCGGCTCCGGGCGGGCGGTGGGCGTCGAAGAGGGCGTGCACCTTCCCGCCGAGCGAGAGCCGCCCCGCGTTGCCCAGCGGGCACGCCTCTCCCGTGTACGCCTCTCCGCTGCACGCCTCCCCCTGCGAGAGTGTCTCGTCCAGCTCCTTGCAGAGCGACAGCTGCCGGAAGCCGACGACGGGAAGGTCGCACTCCATCGGATCGACGTCGATCGGGTCGAGGTGGCGCTCCATCGAGGCGGGCACCGCGCGCAGCGGCGCCGTCCCGCCCTCTCCGCCCCCGCCGCCCTTGTCCGAGCAGCAAAAGTAGCAGCAGAGCCCGGCGCAGACCGGGCGGCCAAACCCGCCGCAGCCTGCAGCCTTGGGACGCGGGAGCGGCGCGGGCGCCTCGGGGAGCGGGATCGCGAGGATCGAGCGGTACGCCTCGGCCAGCAGCCGTGGCGGCAGCTCCGCCCCGCCCTCGCGCCCGAGCCGGCAGGCCTCGGACAGGAAGGCCGTCTCGCTCATCGGCACCTTGGCGTCGCCGCGGTGGAGAGCGGTGTCGAGGAGCAGGTAGCTGCGCACCAGCGCGCGACAAGCAGCGCGCATCGACGTGTGCGACTGCACGCCCTCGTAGAAGAGGCAGTACCGCTCGGCAAAGGCGTCTGTGTCTGCGCCTCCTCCCGCCTGCCGCGCAGCGCCGAGAAAGAGGCGAAGCGCGTCAAGAACGGAGAGGCCGCTGAAGTCGAGGGAGAGGAGCGGGTCGCGGCGCTCGTCCTCGTCGTCGACGAAGCAACAGATGAAGTCCGAGGCGAACTCCGAGCGGAAGTGGCTCATGGTGTTCCTTAGCGGGGACGCGTCTAGCTGGACACGTCTCCTGGACCCCCCGCCCCCGCCCCCCCCCCCCCCCCCAAAAGTGGGGCTCGCCTTTCTTATTCTTTTTTCACTCCACTGGCACGGGACTCGCGCGCACTGGCACTAACACGAGAGCCCAAGCTCTGCGCGGTCGACGTGGACTCTTTCTCACAGCACACAGGTTCGACACAGGTACGCCACACACAGTAGTCAGGTAAGGTAAGGTAAGGTAAACGTCTCCACACACAAAGTGGTGGGGCAAGGGGGGGCGACCCTCGCATCTCCACGCCCGGACACGGGCAGGAGCCCCACGGCATTCAAAGTGCAAGCACCGGCCCGGTGCCGTGGGTGAGCAACCTGCACCCAGAGCCGCGACTGGCATGGCATGTCCCGCGTGGTGGTCGTACCGCGGCCAGGGTGCGGCAAGCAATGGTGAGCAACCGCCCGTGGACTAGCCAAACCAAGCCTCGAGCGGCTGTGAATTCGGGCTGCCCGGTTGCCTCCAAATCCATGGCGGGAAATCGCATAGGACGCCCGTTCCATAGGTGCGACTTTCCCGACTTGAAGCCGGCGGTCGGCGAGGCCCGTCCTCAGTGCGCAGGTGATATCGGCAGTCTTTGCTAACCTTGAGTAATGCCAACCAGCAGGCGAGCCATGCATCACGGCGATCGGATGCTCTGGGGACTATGCGTGCGTGGGCGCGCCGCCAATGTGGCCAACGAGCTGCGGCGTGCTCGACGGGCGTTGCAGGTGCGGCAAAGATCGACCATTTATTCCGGAGCCGATGCCGGCGGCAGCGGAGCCTAAGCGCGCCGCCGGTGGTGCTACGGCAGCGGCAAGCGACGGCCAGCAGGCGAAGAGGATCGCAGAGCTGGAGGCACAGCTCGCAGCTGACAGGGTCACGGGAAACACGTGCATTTCACTCCGAGCCTATGTGCAAGCAGGCGCTGCTCGCGGCAGAGAAGGAGAGAAGCGCGGGCCTCGAGGTGGCGGCGGCAACCAGCGCGGCGGCAGCAGCGGCGACGACGGCGCCGGCGGCAGCAGTGTCTACATCGGCGGCGGCGCCAAAGGCAAGAACGGCGACACCCAGGACGCCGCTTCCGACAAAGGTCTTCCACCCGCCCCCTGGGGTGACAAAGGCGAAGCCTCTGCTGGCAAAGAAGCCGGAAAGCGCGCCTGGTTGAGAGCTGGCCGGAGGTCCTCATGCGCGACAGAGGTCCTCCTCACGCGAGAGGTCCTCACGTGTCCTCACGCGCAGTTAAGAGGTCCTCGCACGCTGAGCAGGGCAGGAGGGGGCGTTGCTTTATTTCGTGGATCGAGGAGTCGGTTTGCCGCTTTGCCTTTGGGGGTTGGTCAGTTTGTTGCGGGTTGGAGCGCTATTCAGAAGGCAACAAGTAAGAACCAGTTCGTGGTTCAGATCTCCGATGTGTATAATATGTGTTGCAATATGTGCGCCATTGGTGCGGGTCAAACTCCTCTCTCACCGTTCAACCCGAATTCTCCAGCGTCGGCTCCCGTTTTTTTATACACCAAAAGCTAGGCCCACAACGCCCTCTATGTTGGGTCAAGGAGCACTTGGAGCACTTGGAGTGCAGTTATCAGCCTCACATCCAGGGCCGGGGAGCTAAGAAGCGCACCCAGCGGGCCGGATGATCGGGATCGGGTTGCGGGCAAGAGAGCCCTAGCCCGGGGGTGCGCGGTCGCAGGGCCATAACACGTCTCAAGGCTTCCGTCGTGCCCACGAGCACTTGGAGCACTTGGAGTGCAGTCGGCAGCCTCACATCCAGGGCCGGGGAGCTCAGAAGCGCACCCAGCGGGCCGGATGATCGGGATCGGGCTACGGGCTAGAGAGCCCTGACCCCTAGGGGGGGTGCGCGTTCGCAGGGCAAGGGCCTTAAAGTAAACACGGGTCTCCGAGGGTTGGCCCCGCGTACCGGGTTTCCCCTTAACTGCAGGACGCCCCCTCTACTCGGAGCTAATGAACACCACACTGCACGCCTCACACGTCACACCACCACTCCACACTCACTCGCGCAGGCACTTGAGTAGACCCCCCGCCTGAGGGCTCACCCCTTGTCCTCCCAGGGTTCCGACCCCCTTGAGCACCGTTTGGACTTTTTTGTGCTTCGGCTTTCCCATGTCTGATCACTACGACACCCTCGGCGTGCCGCGCGGCGCCACCACCAGCGAGATAAAGCGCGCGTACCGCGCTCTAGCGCTTCGGTGGCACCCGGACAAGAATCCCGGCGACCGAGAGGCGGCGGAGGCCAAGTTTGTGGCCATCTCGGCGGCGGCGGAGGTCCTCTGCGACGATCAGAAACGCGCGGCGTACGACCGCGGCGGCTCGGCGATGACGTCCTTCGCGCGTCCCGGCGGCGGCTTTGGCGGCTTCGACATGCGGTCGGCCGAGGCCATGTTCCATGCCAGCTTCGGCGAGTCGCTTGCCGCGTCTTGGCAGCCTGGCAGCCGCGTATCTGGCGCACTCGCTCCACGCTCGAAGCGCTGCGACGGCGTGGTGCATCTCATCTCACGCTGCGTGATCAGGCACGCTCGTCCGCGACGGCAAAAAGGTGACGGTGACGATACACCCGGACGGCACGTCGGACGAGCGCGAGGAGGCGGCCAGCCGATCTGCGGGCTATTCGTACGTCTCCCGCTCGTCGACCGGTCCTGGCGGAGGCCGCTTCGCCTGTTCACAGCAGTGCGGCTCCTTCACAGCACTGCTGTGAGCAGGTCCTGGCGGAGGCTCCTTCACCTCCGTCCACATCTCCGGCAGCCTCGGCCAGGCTCCGCCCGGCTGGCTCCTCCCGCCTACACCACATTTCTCAATGCACGAGTTAATGGGTGGCGGACGTCTACTCAGGCGCTCGCCGACTATCTCGTGCCGCAGTCGATGCAACGGGCGACGCTCTCCTCGGCCGACTCCGCCACGAACCGTGCGACCAGCCGAAGAATTGTTCGAGTCTGGTGCGCCTATAGGTCCCGCTCATCGGCCCCGCCGCCGCCACCGCTGCGACATGGCTCCCCACCGCCGCTTGCCTCGGCTGCTGCTACGTCTGCTGCTGCCGCGGCGCAGGAGGACACGCGCACGCGCTGTGATAGTGGACGCCGCCGTGGAGGGAGACGCGGCGGGTGCCTCGCTTGAGCGCGTGTGATCCGTAGGGCTGTCCGGGGTCTGTCCGGGGGGGGGGGGGGGGTACTTGAGAGCGTTGCGACGCGAATTAGCAGCGCGAGATCTCCCCGGTCCCCGCCGCGCGTACGATTTTGCACACACCCCCTTTCACCTCTGGGCACTGGGGGGAGGCGGGGGCCCCCGGAGGCACACGGCGCCGTGCAGCAGTGCGGAAACGGGGCTCCGGCGCTACTAGCCTCTACTAGCCGTGACTTCCCGAATGGTTACGGTTGGTTAGAGGGCAGATTTGGAGAGATCTCGAGGAGTACATAAAGATAGACCCTCCAATCACACACATCAGAAACCCTCCAACCTGATCGGTCGTACTGACCGCGGACAGATCACTCCAGACAGCAGACAGGCCGACGTCTGCACGCGGCCGGCCGGGCGAGAGGCTTGACATGATCCGACCCTGCGACCCTGACGCTGCTGCTCTAGCTATCAGACAACTGCTGACTGCTGCCACAATGTGTGACCGGTGCTGGCCCACTTGGCGGCCTTCCCGGTCAGTGGTGAGGCGCAGTTCAGAGCTGTCGATGGCGCGATGCCGCACTGGTCCCACATTGGTGACCGAGACCGCCAAGTTTGCCGGTCCAAGGGAGAGGCACTGGCGCTGTCCTGAGAAAGTGCATGGTCCTCTTGACTGCCCATGCGCGCGAGGCTGTGTAGGCATAGCCTCGAGAGTGGAAGCAGCCAATCCGAGGCAGTTTGTGACGCGCATTGCGTCAGAAGCGTGCACGCGCTGGAAGGACACCTTCCTACTGGCCGTACGATCAGGTCGTCACTGAATGCCGAAGACTAAGGCCGCGAGCTATGCAGGTGATCAATTGTGCAGCATGGCACGGTCAGCAGCGCCGAAAGGAAGTCCTAGTGTGGACGGGTTTTTTGCGGTTCGTATCTTGATGTATCTCTCCCATATCTCACTGTATCTCCCCGTATCTCCTTGCATCTCCTCGCATCTCCCCGTATCTGCCCGTATCTGCCCGTATCTGCCCGTATCTGCCCGTATCTCGTATCTCCTGGTATCTCCCGGTATCTCCCGGCATCTCCCGGTATCTCCCGGTATCCCGCCATATCCCGCCATATCCCGCCATATCCCGCCATATCCCGCCATATCCCGCCGCGGATACCGCGAAAAAAACCGTCCACACCAGGGATTTTTGTAAAGGATGTCGTAAGGCGTGATAGCATGGCCGCAAGTACGCCGAATTCCCATGTGCCATGAAACAAGTAAAAAATCGCGCGAAAAAAAAACAAAAAAATCGGCGCCTGCGGCGGGCTGGGGGACCCCATCTCCCCCCCGCATGGGTACCCCCTAGAGCCCTCGCCTCCGCGTTCGGAGGGCCGAGTGAGTGAGTGAGTGTTCTTGATACGAAACCACTGGTCACCAACGCGGTATGGGTGGACTCTGCTCGGTCGAATACCTTACCCCCGCAAAAGGCCAAACCCTGGCTCGCCGGGCCAGGTTTTCTTTTTTCACTGCAAGTCGATCGCCATCTCCGACACATAGAAGGCGAAAGAAGAATCCAAGCAAACCTACACGACAAAGGGAGCGCAGACTAAAAGGACCTGTGGCGCAAGCTCGGCGGCGGCGACCTGGAGCCTGTCCTTGCGAGCGGCGCCGTCGCCCTCCTCGACGCGCAGTGGATCATCAGCCACGCCGAGGCGGGCGGCGTCCTCGCCCACCGCCAGGCGCTACCCGAAGAGGCCTTCCTCTCCCTCGCCGACCTCGTCGAGGCGACCGACTCGATCCCGTACGAAGAATGGCTTCCCGTCGCCGCGCTCTCCTACCCGTGGCTGACCAAGGACCACCCCGACCCGCGCGGAGCCAACCTCGCCCGCGTCGCAAAGGCGCTCAAGGCCCTGCTCACTCGCGGCCCCGTCACGCGGCTCGGCGTCTTTTGGGACTTCGGCTCGCTGCACCAGCACCCCGACCCTGCCAACGGCGTTCTGCGCACCGAGGAGCATAACGCGCTCTTCAAGGAGGGGCTGGGCTGCCTCGGCACGCTCTACTCCCACCAGCACACTTGGGTGCTGCGGCTGACCTCCTTCCCGGACGGCCACAAGGCGGAGGACCAGGCCGAGGGCACCAACGTGGCCAAGTACTTTGACCGCGGCTGGTGCTTCACGGAGCAGAGCTGGGCGAGCCTGACTAAGGCCAGCTTCCTCTCGCTCGACCTCGGCAAGATGCGCGCCGGAGTGGAGTACGACTGCAACAGCCTCATCGAAGACTGCGTCCAGGACGGCGGCCGGCGCCCTCCGCTGCTGCCGTCTGCGTTCGCGGCGGAGCTGGAGACGAAGAGCTTCACGAACGGCAAGGACGACAAGCCGCTGGTGAAGCGGCTGTACGAGGCCGCCTTCGAGGAGCAGTTTGGCATGGCGACCGTGCTGGACTACCAGGGCCTCGGCTGGGGCGACGCGGAGGCGGCGCAGCTAGCCGAGGTCCTCGCGAGCGGGGCGGCGCCGCGGCTCGAGACGCTCCAGCTCGGCTGCAACAAGATTGGCGACGAGGGCTGCAAGGCGCTGGCCGCCGCCCTCGGCAAGGAGGGGGCAGCGCCGCGGCTCGAGGAGCTCCGGCTCGGCGACAACGAGATTGGCGACGAGGGCTGCAAGGCGCTGGCCACCGCCCTCAAGGAGGGGGCAGCGCCGAGCTTGAAGGCGCGAGACGCCCCCTTTTCCACACGCCCATTCCCCGCCCAATGCTCATCGCGCCTCCCCTCGCGTGCAGACGCTCTGGGTGGGCTACGAGAACAAGGAGCAACCTGAGCTGGTGGCCGCTTGCGAGGAGCGCGGCATCGACCTCGACGACCCCTACTTATGAGCCTCTCCAGCCCCGTCCGGGCGGCAAGGCTCGGCGCGGGGCCCGGCGGCACCGCCGCGCGAGCATGGCAGAGGGCAGAGCGTCACATACCGCGCCGCGTGTGCAGGCAGTCACCCATGGCGCGTGTGCGCGGGGAGGGAGGCGCGAGGGGGGAGGAAAGGGACTCGAGACGTGGCTCTCGTGACACGAGTCTCGTGAGGTGTGTCTGGGGGCCGTACAGGGAGAGGGACAGGGGTTTTACCGCTCGCTGGACACTCCCACACAAAACCTCTCCACACTCCTCTCCTCTCCACCTCCTCAGTCGTCCACCTCCTCGCCCGCCACCGCTGGCACCGGCACCAGCACACTATTCCAGCTGCAGCGGTACGCGGGATCGCCCTGGCGCCATCACTGCCATGCGTACGGTGCCCACAACGACACAGTCGTACCGGGCTGGCAATGTTGTGGTTGCACGGGCGGGCACGCGGGCTGCTGCGACATCTGGCAGGGGGAGAGGCTTCCACCGCAACAAGTGGCGACACCTTCGTGCTATGTGATGACCGTGCGAGATCCTGTCGTTCGCTTGGCTTCAGGCCTCGCTTTCTATGCCAAGCACGCACCAAAACCGAGGGCGGCTGGGTGGATGCGCCGGGAGGTCGTCCAACGACTCAAGACTACCCGCACGAGTGAAGGGTCCGATCAACTCCGCCACATGCAGCTAAGCGTAGCCAACGCTCTTGGGATCGCGTCGCCATTCCTGCTGCCCGTGACTGCTTGGGTACGCAGGATCGACTGCAAGAGAGACGAGCTGCACCTGCTTTGTACCGAGGAGCTCAATGCTGGATGGCTTGCCCTGCAACACGCCCTTGCTGGGGATCGCAGCATGGCCGTCAGCCCCGGTGTAAATCCTGCAACATATCGCGACAACGGGCGTAGACCTTCAACGACGGCTGACGGGGGCTTCGCCGACGAAGATGCCGCCTTCCTGCGCATGTACTACCGCGAAGACTTCTTGCTGTGGAAGGCCGCCTGTATCGATCGCGTGCTCCATCCTCGCCCGCTGAACAAGACGAAGTGAAGAAGAGTTCAACCAAGCCGACGGTGTGGCCGTGACCTCCGCCGCCGTCTGTGCCGCCACCAACGCCGCCGCGCCGCCGCCCATGTCGCCGTCGTCCGCGCCGCCCGTGTCGCCTCCCGTGTCGCATGCGGTTTGCATGGCTGTGACCGCCTCGTGTAGGAAGGCTGCTGGCTCCTGACCTATCCCCCAAATCCCCCACCCCTGTGGCCTGAAACCTTACCATTCCACCACCTCACACACACCCCTCCCCTAGGGCTAAGCAGTGCGCGAGCCCACCCGACTTCAGGCGAGACGTCGACCACTCCTCGGGAATAGTTCTGTCAGTGGCTGCACTAGACGCCCATAGAGGCGCGCGGCGCGGGCGGATGACTAGGGGAGAAAAAGCGGAGATCCTAGCTCGCTGGGAGACGTGCGCAACCTAGAGTTGGGAATAGGGGAGAAGTGTCAGTGTGAGGGGAGGGCGTACGCCGGCGTTTTTGCCTTTGAAAACTGAACAGTTTTTTTTCTGTTCAGATACATACTCGCACAACATGCCGCTCCGGATGTGTCGCGGAGGGCGGTAGCGACGGGGATGGGGTGACGGTGACGGTGGCGAGGGAGAGGAAGGGGGTCCATTAACACCAGACAGCGAGAGGGGAAGGGAGGAAAGGGGGAGAGAGGAAGCCAACGGCGATGCCACCAGCAGCACAAGGGACACGATGAACAGGCAGACAACGGCCAAGGCGATGGCGAGGACGAGGAGACACGGGACGATGGCAGGCGAGACGAGGAGGACGGAGGCGAGGGAAGAGGCAGCGCCACAGTCGACGGAGGCGACAACGATGGAGAAGGGGCGGGAACGACAACGCGCACAGAGGATGAGGATATAAATTGGGACGACGCAGCGGAGGGGATAGACGTCGAGACCGGAGGGCTTTCGCGACAGCGACGATGACGACGAAGGCAGGGGAGGAGACGGAGGGGCGACACGCAGGAGGTGAGCCAAATCGCGAACGGCCCGAGCAGAGAGAGCGACGGCGGAGCACGAGGGGGCAACGGAAACGCTACCAATGACGCGAACCGAGGCACTGGCGACGGCGGGGACGGGGAGCGGGCGACAGCGACGTCGAGGTTGACGCAACCGTATCGAGAGCGCCACCCAAAAGGAGGCGGACGGCCATGGAGGTCACCGAATGGAGGGCGAACGGCACGATACGAAAAGGCAGGGCGAGGCGGATGGAGGAAGAAGTGCCGAGGAGGCCATGGTGGAGGGGAGGGACGGGAGGACGAAAGAAGGGCGAGGAGGACGAGCGGCCCGCACAGGCCGCGAGCAGACAGCGCCTGCTGGCCATTTCGAGACATTCGCAAAGAACGCTGGCTACATTGGGGAGGGCGTCGTGAAGGATGGATTGAAAAACATTCGAACAAAGAAGAGGCGACGGGAGGAACCGGCAGAGGATGCAGTGACGGTGAGACACACACACACACACACACACACACACACACACACACACACACACACACACACACACACACACACACACACACACACACACATACACACCGCGCGCGCGCGCACACACACACACACACACACACACACACACACACACACACACACACACACACACACACACACACACACACGCCGCTCACCCACGCGCAAAACGGGCCTTGCACTTTGAATGCCGTGGGGCTCCTGTCGTTAGACGTGGAGACGCGAGGGTTGCCCCCCCCTTGCCCCACCACCTCGTGTGTGTGGAGAACGAGAAGTTTACCTTACCTTACCATGTTGGGAATAGGGAGAAGTGTCAGTGTGAGGGGAGGGCGTACGCCGGCGTTTTTGCCTTTGAAAACTGAACAGTTTTTTTCTGTTCAGATACATACTCGCACAACATGCCGCTCCGGATTTGTCGCGCGGTCTCCGCGGTCTATGTGCCTGTGGTTTCACCCATTAGCCATTTTGCCATTCCTCCCTCCGCGGAGCACACTTCGTGGAATCGTGCCGCAACTTGTGGTCCGCTTAGAGCGCGGTCGGGCCAGGGTCGGGCTCGGCACCTCACCTTGGGTTGCGTCTTGTTCCTTTTTTCCCGCGCTACGCGCTCCTTCAACGGCGCCTCCCATCGACATGCACGGCCCGCGGCGCTGCGCGTCGCACACCTCTCGACGCTACATCGTAGATCGTACCCCGAAACCTCGGGTCATGTGTGTCGCCAGCCTCGCCGCCCCAAGGCTCGCGGCGGGCTCGGCGCCTGAGATGGCCGCCTGCACCGGCGGCTCGCTCAGCCACCTCACGCGCCTCTTCACGCCGACGGCGACGGCACGCCGCCGGACGGCGTCGCCTGGTGCACGAGAGCAACGTGCTGGCCGGAGGAGTGTGTGGGGCAGCAGGCTCGGTGTGGCGCGGCAAGCGGCGTGCGACGCTGCGGCGGCAAGCGTCGAAAGGCAAGATCTCGCACCTCGCACCTCGATCTCGATCTCGGCGGGATCTCGGCTCTATCTCGGCTCTCTTGGGGCTCTCTTGGCCTCTTGCGCCGAGAGCTTGCGGAAGCGAGCGGCGGTGAGGGCGGGGAAGCCGAAGCAGAGCAGCACGCCCGCGACTGCGCCTTCGACGCCGCCGAGGTACGGCACCGGTCCCAGGAGGAGCTCTCCTACCGGGGAGATGTGGGGGAGATGTGGTGGAGGTGTAGGGGAGGTGTAGCGGAGATGTGGGGAGGTGTAGGGGAGGTGTAGCGGAGATGTGGGGGAGATGCAGGGGAGATACAGGGGAGGTGTAGGGGAGGTGTAGGGGAGGTGCAGGGGAGGTGTAGGGGAGGTGTAGGGGAGGTGTAGGGGAGGTGCAGGGGAGGTGTAGGGGAGGTGTAGGGGAGGTGTAGGAGAGGTGTAGCGGAGATGTGGGGAGGTGTAGGGGAGGTGCAGGGGAGGTGTAGGGGAGGTGCAGGGGAGGTGCAGCGGAGGTGCAGGGGTGATGCAGGGGAGATGCAGGGGAGATATAGGGGAAAGAAGAGGGGAGGGCGGGGAGATGGCCCTCTCCGTATTTGACGCCGTACGACGCGAGAGCCGTGAGGACGACGAGCTTCGCGGCGTTTGGGGCGGCGGCGGCGCCGGGGATTGCGGCGGCGGCGGGGGGGTCGGAGGCGGCGGCGGAGGGGGCGGCGGCGGCGGAGGACTGGCCGAACGGGTTGAGCATCGATGGCGACCAGCCGTTGGAGGAGGCGAGGCGGGCGGCGGCGACGGCGCAGGTGGTGTTGCCGGCGAGCGTGAGCGCGGCTTGCAGGAGGACGAGGAAGGAGAGGTCGGGGCTGTTGTAGAAGAAGTGGTACGTGCACGCGGCGACGCCGGACGCGTGCAGCGGCAGCATGCCCCACGTCAGTCCCTTCCAGCGCTCGTTGCCTGACAGCGCTGCCATCTGCCACACCATCCCCATCGCAAACAAGTACCTGCCGCGCGCCGCCGGTCGCTGAGGAGAGAGCAGGGGCACCTCGAGATGCGGGGAGAGGTGGGGAGAGGTGGGGAGATCTACCAACGCAGCCCAGCAGCGTGATACGGGGAGATATGGGGAGATGTGGGGGAGATGTGGGGAGATAGCACCGACGCCGGGAAGCCCGGCAGCGTGATAGATAGGGGGAGATCTGGGGAAGATCTGGGGGAGAGCGGGCTGCTCTCTTGTCCCCGCAAACAGACAGCTCACTCGAAGACGGACGAGAAGTGAATCGCCCACCTGTTCACAGCTGCAGGTGTGAATAGACGCCGTTCACACCGACGTGGCGAGAAGTGAATCGCCCACGTCGGGATCGACAGCGCGTTGGCAGGCTCCGCATGCAGCGGCAGCGGCGACGCGGCGAGGAGGTCGGCGGGCAGCGCCTAAGCAGGACTGGCCAACGGTGAATGATCGCCACCAACTGAGAGCCGACGAGGACAGCGGCGGCGCGGCGCCCCGGCGCCAAACAGGAACGGCGAGTGCGCCTCGTTACAGTGATGAACCGCTTAGTTGATCGTTCGCATCCGGCGGCACGACGGGAAGGGCGAGTGCGCCTCGACGCCGAGCTGCGGGCCGGCGAAGGCGGAGCCGAAGACGGTGACGGCGAGAGCGAGGGCCGCGAACCGCTGCGGCCGCGTCCCCTCCATGCCCGCGCCGGCCGGCTCCATCTTGCCACTGCTCAGTGCGCCTATCAACGGCGAGTGGGTGGTCCGTGGCGACGCGCGCGCCGCAGCTGGGTGCACTGGCACTGCCACGGAGCGCGCGCCGGCGAGGCCGAAGCCGAGGAACAGGTTCGATGTCGTGAGCAGCGCCTCTGCTCCGCCGTGCAGCCAGTCGACGTCTGCGAGCGACGAGGAGTAGGTGCCCTTGGTGACGATGCCGGTCAGCACGGTGGAGACGACAAACAGGAGGAGGAACTGGGCGCCGAACTGGGCCGTCTTGGGGCAGCGGTTCCCCTCGTACCCGAGAAAGTACAGGAACAGCAGGTACGGCGGCAGCGAGAGCGGGAAGAGCGCACCGGCCAAGTTGCCGGCCTGATCCGCGAACGCCAGAGTGCTGCTCACGTCGCCGAGGGAGGTGTGCACGCTCGCCACGGCAGAAGCGTCGAGCAGCGCGGCCGGCGAAGCACGCGGCGCCAGCAGCGGAGGCAGCGGCGAGGTGGGAAGTCGAAGCCTCATTACCGAGAAACTAACAGTGCGGTGTGAACAGACGCACTTGCCATCGGGGGCAAGTACCCAAATCGGCTAGGTTGGGCGTGCCTCCGTAAGAGAAAAAAAACCCTCCGTGAGCCGCTCCTCGAGGCTGGAGACACTGGGCGAGAGGAATTCATTTTACGAGAAAAGAGGTTCCTCTCTCTCGGAGGTTCTCGAGGTGGATATCCTTCGGCCGCGTTGGGTAGCGAGGATTGGTGAGAGCTAGGCGATCGATGCCATTGAGATAAAGAGCCTACAAAAAGAACAGGGTCTGGTCTCCCGCTTCAGTCTCTGCACCCTCTTGTGGAGGGGGCGCGCGGCACCGCTTGAACACTCGTGCAACGGACAAAGCGGGCGCTCTCCAGCGAGACGTCGCCGCTTTTCCACACGCGCATACCTCCTCCGTCCTGCGCGAGTTGGGGCGGGAAGGCGTAAGCGGGGAGGGCGAGAGAGCGAGAGAGGGCGGGCAGGGCCCAGAGCGGCCCTTTTGGGGAATGCGTCCCCCGTTTGCCGAACCATGTCCCTCTGCCTTCCTCTCCCGCGGCGATGGCGTGCGAGCGTGCGTGTGCGGGGGAGGCGAGCGTGTGCGGGCGTGGGAGACGCACATCGCCAGCCGTGCACTCGCTGAAGCTGGCGCCGTGCAGCGAGACGTCGCCGCTGTTGTCCACGTTCATACCTCCTCCGTACTGCGCAAGTTGGGGCGGGAAGGCGTAAGCGGGGAGGGCGTCAGAGAGCGAGAGGGGGCGGGCAGGGCCCAGAGCGGCCCTTTTGGGGAAGGCGTCCCCCGTTTGCCACCCCATGTCCCTCTGCCTTCGCCTCCCGCTTCCTGCTGCGGCGATGGCGTGCTTGCGTGCGTGTGCGGGGGAGGCGAGCGTGTGCGGGCGTGGGAGACGCACCAGGGTAGTCGTGCACTCGCTGAAGCTGGCGCTTTCCAGCGAGACGTCGCCGCTGTTCCACACGGACATACCTCCTCCGCGCTGCGCGAGTTGGGGCGGGAAGGCATTAAGCGGGGAGGGCGAGAGAGCGAGAGAGGGCGGGCAAGCCCAGAGCGGCCCTTTTGGGGAAGGCGTCCCCCGTTTGCCGAACCATGTCCCTCTGCCTTCTTCTGCCGCTTCCGGCGCCGTAATGGCGTGCGAGCGTGCGTGTGCGGGGGAGGCGAGCGTGTGGGGCCGTGGGAGACGCACATTGACAGCCGTGCACTTGCTGAAGCTGGCCCTCTCCAGCGAGACGTCGCCGCTGTCCCACACGAACATACCTCCTCCCTCCTGCGCGAGTTGGGGCGGGAAGGCGTAAGCGGGGAGGGCGTCGGAGAGCGAGAGGGGGGGCATCCACAGCATTCCAATGTGGCGAGGGCTTGCGGGGCCGAGCGGTGCGGAGAGGGGCGGCGCACTTGGTTAGCCTCGCAGCCCGTGAAGGACACGCCTTTCATCGCAATATCGCCAGCGCCAAGAGCGAGCACCGCACCGCCGTAATCACCAACCCCGTCCACAAAGTGCAGCGCCTCCAGGTAGAGGCTGCAGCCGCCAAAGATGGAGAACATGTTGGAGCTCTTCTTGCCGTCGAGCGTCGCGCCCTCCCCGCTGCTCCGGACCGAGAGGAGCATGTCGCCGCCGCACGCGACGTTGCTGCTAAAGGCAAGGCGGACGCCCGGCGGGACGTAGACGCTCGCGTTGCGGCCCTGGTCCACGGCCTTGTTGATCTCGTCCCGGATGTCTTGAGGCGTGTGGGCGAGGACCTCGCCAGCGGGGGATGGAAGCAGCGGCGGACGAGCCGGACGCAGCTGCGGCGGCGGCGGGAGTAGCGGTGGGGACGGTGGCGCTTGCTCCTCGCACGCGCCGCAGCTCGCCGGGCAGAACAGCGAGACGAGCGAGCCCACGGGAGCGTCGCCACCGGTGTGCAGATCGAAGTCGCAGCCGAACGTCAAGAAGAACGTGCAGCCGCCGTAGCTGGCCGCGAGACCAAAAAAATCGTCCTCGCACAGCAACGCCGCCACAAGCAGTGGCGATAGTGGAGTGATCTCCTCCGACTCGCACGCGCCGCAGCTCGCCGGGCAAATTAGCGACATGGTCGAGCCCACCGGAGCGGCGGGGTTGATGGTGTGCAGGTCCGTGTCACAGCCCACCAACCCCGCCGTTAAGAAGGCGCAGCCGCGGTAAGCGGTGAGCCAAGCGGTGAGCAAGCCGCCCGGATCGTCCTCGCACAGCACCAGTAGCGGTGGGATCGGTGTCGATGGTGGCGATGGTGGAGTGCTCTCCTCCGGCTCGCACGCGCCGCAGCTCGCCGGGCAGATCCGCGAGAGAATCGAGCCCTCCGGAGCGGCGGGGTTGACGGTGTGCAGGTCCGTGTCGCAGCCCAGCTGCGTCCCGGCGTAAGGGCAGAGCAGCGCGATCAACTCCGAACCGTCCTCGCAGAGCACCGGCGGAGACAGAGGCGGCAGCGACGGCGGCACCCCCCAAAGTCCGGAGCCCTGCTCACCAGACCCGGCCTCGCCAGAGCCAGCTTCGCCCGAGCCAGCCTCGCCCGAGCCAGCCCGAGCCACGGGGAGGGCGGAGATCAGCAGGAGCAAGGCCACCGAGCCGAGACTCTTGCTCAGCCGAGGACGGACCGTCTTGCTGGGCCGCTGCCCCGAGGCCGCACCGGAGCGCGGCGCCCGCTGCCCCAGCAGCAGCCAGCAGGCGCCGCACGCTTGGAGGAGCAGCACCGCCGCAGGGGCGCAGCACCACCACCACTCGCGGAGGGAGGGCCGGCCAAGAGTGGCGGCGGCGTCGACGATGGCGCGCACGGAGTCGCGCGCGCCGGTCCGGAGCAGCTTCTCGCCCTGCGCGATCTCGATTGTCGGCCGTGACTGCCCCAAAGTCCCGCCACCGGCGCGGCCGGTGCCAGAGGCGCGCAGCGCCTCCGCCAGCGGGTGGAGAAAGTTGCGGTCGGAAACGGGGGGTGGCTCGAGCAAGCCGGCGTGGAGGGCGACGCCCTCGTCCCACGCGTGCGCCGAATCGCCCTCGAGCGAGAACTCGCTCAACTTGTTGGCCTTGCGGCGCACGTTTGCGTCCCCTGACTCGCTGGTCGCGCACGGGCACTCGTTCATGATGCACGCCTCCTTGTGGGCCGCCTCCGCACACGCGTCGCTGCCGAGCGACGCGGAGGCGTTCGGCACGTGATGTGCGCTCGATCCGGCCGCGCCGTAGCCCGCGAGTTCGACGCTCACCAACTTCTCCACACGTTCGCCGCCGCGGCAGCCGTCAAAGGCGGAACTGGTCTTGCGCGGCCCGCCGAGGCTGCCGCGGTTGAAGATCGTGCGCTGGACGTCGGCCGGGATGCCCAGCATGTCGCGGATGGAGCCGCACGCTGGCTGGGAGGTGTCCTCAGCCGCCGTCTCAAGGCCGCGCAGCGCCGAGCGCGCCGCCTCCGTCGAGCCCGTCGTGGTCGATGCAGGCGTGCTTGACCGAGTTCGAGCCGAGGGCGTCGCCCGCGATGCGAGTCGGGCCGCTCTCGGATTGCGCGAGCCCCGCAGGCAGGCCGAGCAGAAGCAGGCGCACACACAGGTGCACATTCGGAGGCTGCCGAGAGGATGCGAGGGCGCAAATCGGTGTGAACAATCCAAGAGTCCATATCTTCGGGCCTTTGAGTTGCGGCGCCACATCACCGTGCCGATGGCGCCGCAGGCGATGGCGAGGAGGATGAGCACGAGTGCGGGCATGAGAAGCGGCGAGCAGCTCACGAGCGAGGACGCCTTCGAGGCGACGGCGGGCGAGAAGGCCGAGGACGCCGCGGAGGCGACGCCGGATGAGAAGGTAGAGGACGCCGACGAGGCGACGGAGGCTGCCGAGGCGACGGCAGACGAGAAGGCCGAGGCCACCGCCGTCGGGCTAGGCACGGCGGGCGCGCAGTGGCCCAAGGCGGGCATGCAGACGAGGAGCAGCCACCGGAGGGCGCCCTCGGCCTTCGTGTAGCCGCCCCGCACGCAGTCGGCCGCCGCCTTGAGGCCGGCGCGACCGCCGGCGCCGCATGTGCCAGCGCCGGCGCCGCATGTGCCAGCGCCGGCGCCGCATGTGCCAGCGCCGGCGCCGCACGTGCCAACGGCGAATGGCGCCTTGCCGGACGTGGTCTGCGGCTCGCGGCGCCGGTCCGGCGAAGGCGGCGTCTGCGGCCCGCCGCGCGGCTTCGGTCGCCGGTGCGAGCCGCGGCCCTTTGCCTTGCCAGACTTGCGCCTGCCCTTTGCCTTGCCAAACTTGGGGTTGTTGCGGCAGCGCATGGCCTTGCGCCGGCACTTCCCCGAGCGCCGCGACTGCAAGTCCGCCCACTTCTCCCGTTGCTCGGCAATGAGATCGAGCGCGGCCTTCGCCTTCTTCAGCCGCCCCTCCCAGTGCTCGCGCTCCTTGGCGGCCTCGGCCTCAGCCTGCCCCGCGCCCGCGACCGCGCTCAGGGGCTTGGGCGCCACGGGCGCAATGCCGCCGGAGGTGGGGACTCCCGGCGACGGCGACTTCTCGCCGTCGGCGGGCGCAGCCTGGTAGCTGACGCTCTCGCCCAGCCGGCGGACTGCAGCCTCGACGCCGTCCACGTAGCCCGGTCCGGAGCCGCTGCGGGCCGACGCGGGCCCGCTCTTCCCCGCCGCCATCGGCGTGGGCAGGCCCGGGTAGCAGGTGGTGTCCTGCAAGCGCGATAGGGGCACACGGGAAGGGAGATTATTACCGGTGGGAGAGCGAGGAGTGCCAGGAGAGAATGCTGCGGCGCGCTCACCGCTGGGTCGGGCGGGTTGGAAACGGTCTTGGCCGGCTTCTCGACCTCCTTGGCAGCCTCCTCGGCGACGGCCTCCTCGGCGACGGGCGCCTCGGCGACGGGCGCCTCCTGGGAGGCGGACACCTCGGCGGCGGCGGGCTTGATGGTCGCCTCCTCGGCGGTGGCGGCCTCCTCGGCGACGACGGGCTCCTCGGAGGCGGCCTCCTCGGCGGCGGCGGCCTCCTCGGTGGCGGCGGACTTGGTGGCGGACTCCTCGGCGGCGCACTCCTCAGCGGCGGTCTCCTCGGCGGCGGCGGACTTGGCGGCGGCCTCCTCGGTGGCGGCCTCCTCGGTGGCGGCCTCCTCCTTCACGGCCACCTTCTTGCGCGCCAGCAGCCCGCGCGAGACGCGCTGCATGATCTTCGCAGCGCGCGGCTCCGCCAACCCGATCTCGACGCTGGCCAGAAACACCGGCTTGGAGGCGTAGATGCTGTCCTCCACGACCATTGACCGGTCGGCCCGCTCCTGCATGGTAGGGGTACACGGGAGAGAGATTAATACGGGTGGGTGGAAAGCAAGGAGTGCCAGGAGAGAACGCTGCGGCGCGCTCACCGTTGGGTCGGGCGTGTTGGAAACGGTCTTGGCCGGCTTCTCGACCTCCTTGGCAGCCTCCTCGGCGACGACCTCCTCGGCGACGGGCGCCTCCTCGGCGACTGCCTCCGCGGCGGCGGACACCTCGGCGGCGGCGGACTTGATGGTCGCCTCCTCGGTGGCGGACTCCTCGGTGGCAGACTCGGCGGCGGCGGACTTGGTGGCGGACTGTGCCTCCTCGGCGACTGCCTCCGCGGTGGCGGACTCCTCGGCGGCGGCGGACTTGGCGGCGGCCTCCTCGGTGGCGGACTCCTCGGCGACGACGGCCTCCTCGGTGGCGGTGGACTTGGTGGTCGCCTCCTCGGTGGCGGACTCCTCGGCGACGACGGCCTTCTCGGAGGCGGCCTCCTGAGTGGCGGCCTCCTCCTTCACGACGACGTCGTCGTTGACGCCGCACGCCTGCGTGAGGGAGAAACGTAAATGTAAATGTTTGGAGACGGGGACACCGCAGGGACAATGCCGATCCTGGCGTGCGCGTGCGCACCTCAGCTCCGAGCGAAGGCGGCAGCGTCAGGCTCGCGCGGCGGCGCTGATACCACTCCTCATACTCCGCACTGGTAGCGAAGTAGCCACCGACCTTGACGGAAGCCGTTGGCCCGAGCTCGGTCTGAACCTGGGCCCCCTCCGCGAAACAAAAGCTGATTGGCACCTTTGCGAGGCTCCGATGGAACACGTGGGGGTTGTCGAACCAGACCCCCTTTGTTGATCTCACAACCAAGAAAGCCGACTCGCCCTCGCTCTCATTGAAGTCGACCATGTAGCGCCTCTCCCTGCAGAGCACATAAAAGCAACCATAAAAGCAACCATCAAATATGAATTAATAAGATTGAGGCGCCCAGTACAGCGCTGCAGCTGCTGCACCAACTTCTGCAGATTGCGCATTCTTACTATCGACTACTGCATATCACGCTAGTACGGTCGATTACTGCAGATAAACGACTGCGGCCTGAGTACTATGATGATCTCGGGGAAGCTCTCAGGCAATGATCAGGTTGAAGAGGCCAGCCAGCGCCATCTTGGTACTTAGAACTCACAGGCGCACGAGACGTGGAGGGCGTACCAGTGTGATCGGCTGAGAATGAGTGCCTGTAGAAATTAGCCATCGGCACGAGTGCATGAATGAGTAACTACCACAGCCGAAGTTTGTGAACGAGTGAGAATGAATGACTAAGTAACTCGGCATCGGCGCATGAGATGTGCGTGGAGAGTGTACCCTGTTAATGGGTGAGAACGAATGATTAAGTAGGAAGTAGTCATAGGCGCACGAGCGTGGAGGGCGCAACCTGTCAATGACGAGTGAAATTGAATGACATCTACCACAGCCGCGGCTTTTGAATGAGTGAGAATGAATGATTAAGTAGTAATTAGTCATAGGCGCCCTGTTACTGAGAATGGCTAACTGCCACAGACTTGACACGTGTGACTAAATTGTGATTAGTCCCTAATAGTAACCACGAGACGGGAGAGCGTTCCGCGTTAATGAGTGAGGGCGTATTTACGCAATCCTGTGTCGGTCTCGGCTGGGGTCTCGGGTAGATCTCGGAACCTCTGCGCGCGCAGCGGCAGCGCAGCGGAAGGAACACGCCTACGCGATCACAACCGTGTGAAAGAGAGTCAAAGAAGATGTCCTTTGTTTATGAGGGATCATGCGGGCTATGAAGGCATATAATAAAATCTCGGGCAAACTCGGGCAACCTCGCCTAAAAAGACAGAAAAGGAAATCAAAGCGTCTGCTGCGCGATGCAGGACTAACGCAAGCTTGTTGACCGGGAAGGTTCGAGCCTGAGAGAGTAGAGCTGCGCCTACGGGCAGCACGCCGCGGCGTGAGCGTCGCAACGACAACGTGATAGCTGCCGACACACTCTCACGCGTCCACGGCGCTCGGACTGGAGCCGGGCGGCGAGCGAGCGAGCGGGCGTTGGCCGGCAGAACGGCCGCACCTACGGGCAGCACGCCGCGGCGTTAGCGTCGCGACGACCGGCACACTCTCTCGTGTCCTCGGCGCTCGGACTGGAGCCGGGCAGCGATTGGCAAGCAAGCGGGCTGCGTCGCTCTCTCGCCGGAAAAGAGTGAGCGCTATCGGGCGGGTTCGCTCGGTGTATGGGTGGGAAACGAGCTGCAGCGGCCGCGTCTCGCGGCTCCTCGATGGCAGCAGCCTCACCTGCGAACGGGAGGTGGCAGGCATTGTGAGGCCGAGAGGGGCGTAGCCGCTCGGGCGCCAAGCGAAGCGCATCGCATGGTGGGAGCGGAGAGGGAGCGGCGGGTTGCGCGAGCGAGATGCGTCGCGCCGCTCGGGCGGCTCGCCGCGGGCATATGTGCGTCGATACGGCGGGGCCAGCGCGAGCGGAACGGGAAAGGCGAGGGACCTGGCGACGTCGAGGGGAACCGTCGGCCTGGGTGGAGGGGAACGTGCCGAGCTGTATGTAGGCTGCGATCAAAAAGAGCGCCTTCGGCACTACTCTCTCGAGGTCTCGCGGATCTTATAAATCAGCCGATCGTTTTTTTGTATTCAGCGGGGCACGCGCGGAACGGAATACGTGCCGACTGTGTATAACACTCGTGTCCTGCTGTCAAAAGCTCAAGAGTCAAGACAGGGACGTAGAGCTCTACATGCCGGCCTCAAATTTTCTCTTCGGCTCGCTTTCTTCTGTGCGCAAGAGCCGGGCCTCGCACGCCTGACGCCGGCGGCTCCTGGCCCTACTCTATGCAGAGAACCCAGCCGGGGCGGCCGCCGTAGCTCTCGGCCCAAACGTAGCCGTTTCCGTTCACCAGCGGTGGTGCGTTCTCGGCCGCAACCTCCTCGGTCATACCTTCGGTGTCGCAGTGGTCGGTGGTGGTCCCACCGTCGGTCGTCATGCCGAGCGCGACGCGCTCCTTGTGAGCCGCGAGCCATGCTGCGATTGATGCGTCGGCTCGCGCACTTGCTGCGTCCTGGCGCTTGTTGAAGTCTGCCGCCGCCTTCTGCCACTGCCGCTGCCGCAGCGCCCGCAGCCGCTGCAAGGTCTCGTCGGTCAGCAGCGTCTTCGACTGGCGGTCCTCAATCACGGCGGCCTGCACCCGCGACAGGAGAGAGAGAGCTTTTGTGGTGTTGGTGTACGCAATAACGGGACAGGGTAGTCGTTCTCTAAAGCTCCCCTTCTGGCTCTTAGCATGAGCTGCGCCCTGTGTCCGACCCCTTTCGCGCAGCAACACCTTAAACTTTTAGGCCCTCCAAATTCGGGTCGGAGCGTAGCGGAGTGGGCCCCGAGAGTTTGAAAAAGGAGACGGACGCTTGCGTCCTAGCCTCCAACAACGCCTCCCCGGCGCAGAGGGGCCCCCGGAGGGATGCGCCGCTCCACGGCTTCCCCCTGAATTCGCGCCGGTTGCAACTGCCATGTCGACGGTCGGCGGCTGCAGCTCTCGCCTCGCTGGCGGCGCGGTCTAGTGCCGCGGCTCCCAACTCTCCGGTGGGCTCGCGGCGGCTCGCCGCCGTGGATCTGAACAATATGACCGGTCCGGGTCGTCCCGGCGTGCCGCCAGTGGCCTGCCGCTTCTTCGCCGAATTTTTCCTCCACATGTTTGTCGACAAAGTTGCCCCCGAGCTCCTGCTGCTCGACTGCGCGGCAGAACCGGCCCCTCGCGGCTGAGACGTGATGCGCCGGCACCGGGGCTACGGCGCGGGACCACTTCCAGGCTCTCTCGAGCAACCTCAAAATTGGCCGATTTTGTGATCTCAACCCTGCTGCTCTCTGACCACAACCTCGCGGCCCGCTGCACGGCTCTTTGAGCGCGAGAGGAGCTACGAGGCGGCGGCGAGCGCAGGCGGCGGCGGCGGCGGCGGCGCGGCGGCGGATCGCGGCGCAGACAACGGCAGCAATCTGCGGCACACATACACACACGCCTCCCTTGCACTATACCACTCACACCGCCGCCGCACTCTCGGGGGCGGGCAGCGGCGCTGAGGAGAAGCTGCGGCGGGTGACGACGCGGAGACGGCGCTGAGGGAGCGGCGACCGCGGCGCGACGGGAGGCGGTGCAGCTGCGGCGGCTGCCGCCGCCTCGGCTCGACAGCAGCTGCATGGCTAAGCCTCCCCTCCCCTCCCCTCCTCCCCGCCCGCCCGCCCGCCGCCCCCCCGCCCCCTCCCCTCGCCCGCGCACTGGCCACCGCCCTTTGCTCGTCTAGCGTATAGGTACAACTCTCGAGGGTGGAGGGGAAGACGTAGGGCGTGCTTGCGCGCCTTTCCTGAGGCCCCTCCACCTTAACTACTCGCTGCCTACTCGCTGCCTCGAGGGAAGAGGGGAAGACGTCGTGCGGGCGCCACTGCGCTCGCCGTCCTGAGGCCCCTCCCCGAAAGGGCAAGTATTAGACCCACGAAATCGGAGACCCCTCCCCACCGCCCCGACCCCCCCACCCCCTTGCTCCCCTCCCCCCCTCGGGAGGGCCGAACTGAGGCGCCCGTGGGGACCCCGCAATTCCCTTCCCCCCTCGGAGGGCCGGACTGAGGCGTCGAGGGCCCCACTCTTTCCTTCGCATAGCGGCCACTCTTCGGATCGCTGGTCGAGCGACCCGGGGGATGCCCCGCGGCCGCGCGCCTGTGATCCAGGCGCGAGAAACGAATCTTCGAGGCGTGGCCGCTTATGCGGCCCGATGGGGAGCGGGGCGGACTACGGGGATCGGCTTCTTACACAGCCCCTCCTTGCAGCGAGCCCCCCTCCAACCCACCCGCGCTAGGTCCCGGGGGACGCAGGGCCAGGGGTCACACCCGACGACCTTGGTCGGGAACTAGCCGGGGCAGTCGGAGAAGGGGCAACTCCGTGCACTGACGGTCGGCCGTCAGAAAACACGCCTCCGTGGCTCGGGTTACACCAATCCTCGCTACCCAACGCGGCCAAAGGATATCCACCTCGAGAACCCCGCGCAAAAGAAATCGCGGGTGGCTGTAGCGCGGCGCCATTTGTGTATGCGCTGCGCCAACCTGGTGCTCTCCTCCTCACTCGCGTGGGCCTCGGTCCAGCGCAGCGCTGCCGTCGCCGTCGGTCGCGCCACCGTCCCGCTCCTCCGCTCGGCGCAGCGGCGCGGCCCGCTGACTGCCGCTCGAGGCGTCGTCTGCTCGGCCGGGCCGTCAGGCTCCGCGTTGGATGGGCTGCAGCCGTCGGCGCTCGAGGCGGACACCATCTTTGCGCTCTCCTCTGGGGCGGGCGTGCGCGCTGGCGTCTCCGTCATCCGCGTCTCTGGGCCGCACGCCAAGCTCGTCTTGCAGCGGATGTGCCCGGGCGGCGGCGGCGGCGACGGCCTGCCGCCGCCGCGCCGCGCCGTGCTTCGCAGCCTGAGGCAGCCGGGCAGCGACGTCGCAGGCGGCGACGGCGGAGGCGGAGGCGGCGAGGCACGGGAGGGCGAGCTGATTGACCAGGAGTTGGTGCTGTGGCTGCCAGGACACTCCAGACACCTCCTAGACATTTCCCACTGGTTGACCAGGCGCTGGTGCTGTGGCTGCCGGGCCCTCGCTCCTTCACCGGCGAGGACACCGTCGAGCTGCACACGCACGGCTCGCCCGCCGTCGTCAGCGCGACGCTCGAGGCGCTCGGCCGCCTCTCGTACCACCGGCTGGCCGAGCCGGGCGAGTTCACGCGGCAGGCGCACGCCAACGGGCGTATGGATTTGACCGAGGTGGAGGCGCTCGGCGACCTGATCAACGCGCAGACGGACGCGCAGCGGCGGCAGGCGCTCGCGGCGATGGGGGGCGGGCAGAGGCGGTCGCTGGAGGCGTGGCGGGGGCGGATGGTGCGCGCTCTGGCGCATACCGAGGCGCTGATCGACTTTGGCGAGGACGCAGACGACGTCACCGAGGCCGCGCTCTCGTCCGCCGTCGGCGAGATGCGGGAGATCCGACGCGAGATTGAGGCCGAGCTGGAGGACGGGGGGCGCGGCGAGGCTGTGCGCGACGGCGTGCGCGTCGCAATCCTCGGCCCGCCGAACGCAGGCAAGTCTTCACTTCTCAACCTGCTGGCGCGGCGTGACGCGGCGATCGTTTCGCCGATCGAAGGCACCACCCGCGACGTGGTGACGGTGTCGCTGCAGCTGGGAGGCATGCCCGTAGTCCTATCTGACACGGCGGGGCTCAGAAGCGACTCGGAGGATCCAATCGAAAGGCTGGGCATGGTGCGGTCGGCAGATGAGGCGGCCAAAGCACACGTTCAGCTCTGGGTGTTTGATGCGTCGACGCCGGTGCCGCCCGTGCTGGACGCCTCCTCCGCCGCCGCCTCGCCCACCACCGCCACCGCCGTCACCGCCACCTCTCCCGCCGCTGCCGATTCCGCCGCCGGCGAGGACGCTGACGGTGTCGGGGCAGAGGCGACCGGAGGCATCGCCGGCGCGCCGCTGCAGCTGCTGCTGCGAAACAAGGTCGACCTGTCGAGAGGCGGCGAGGGCGGCGCAGAGGGCGGCGACACGGCGGGCGGGGTGCCATCGGAGAGACAGTGGCGCATTTCCTGCACCACGGGCGAGGGCGTGGCGCCGTTCCTCGACCAGCTGGGCGGCATCGTGCGGCGGCTGTACGGCTCAGACGAGGGAGAGACGCCCCTCGTGACGCGCGCGAGGCACCGGCAGCACCTCGAGGGCTGCGTCGCTGCGCTGGCGCAGTTCGAGGAGCTCGCGTCCCTCGGCGAGGCCGCGCCCCTCGATTTGGCGTGCGAGGAGCTGCGGACGGCCTCACTCGAGCTCGGCCGCATCACGGGCCGCGTGGACGTCGAGGAGGTACTCGACGTCATCTTCCGCGACTTTTGCATCGGCAAGTAGCCGCGGATGGCATCAGCAGTTGGGAGAGGATGTCCCTATGAGATGCCGCCCCGCCCCCGTTCTCGTCCTTCTCTCCCCTGCAGTACACCTTTTACAGCAGCAGTGTGATGACTGGCTTGAGCACTTGAGCACTGGATAGGGTCGGTTCCGCATGGTACGGGACCCCTCGATCGTCTCGCCCACCCTCACTGGTGTGTTCATTGGGGGGGGTCATAACAGACACGGTACAGGATCGAGGTGCACGCTGCTGAAGCAGTGTCGTCCCCCCTCTCCCCGACGGCGATGGGGCGGTGTGACTAGGGGGTGCGCAGCGCCCCAAAATCCAGCGCTGTGGGATTTCGCGCAATCGCTTGACTCTGAAAAGCTCGCAATCCCTGCGGTGAGCGCTGTGGTCGCCGCAGACTGGCTCCGACTTGACGGCGGCATGGAGACGTGATGCCTCCATGCCGCCGTCGAGTCAAAATCGACATGCGAGTCGATCTTTGGCCCGCCAGAGGGATATGCGGCGTTTCGGGCGACAAATAGCGCTGTGACCGCGAAGTGGCGGTGGACATGCTCCCACGGTGCCGACGCGGCGCCGGAGTGGCCGGCGCTGCTCGCCGCGACCACGACGGCTACTCTGATGCTCCGGGCCGACCCGTCCTACCCGACGGTGGCACTCTTCCACGTCTCGCTCACGCTGAGAAAAAATCTGAAACGGCGTGCAGCAGAGTCACCGACGAGTCGGTCCGCGTGACTCCTCGTGTCCCGTACCGTTCTCACACATCCATAAACTCACTTTGGCCCCACTGAAGCGATGCCTGAATCCTGAATCCTCAGATTTTAGATTAGGACGCTGCGCACCCTCTAGTGTGACCGATCGAGCTACAAGGGGAGCTTGTTCAGCAGGATCAGGGGTGAGCCGAGCAGTTCTCACTTCCTCAATGGGTGAGCTTCAGTCCTCAGGCCACTCCCCCCCTTCACCCCTCGGCTCGTGTGGATTCGAACCACCGCCGGGATGGACGCTTCCTGCTTCCATCTTGAGAGATGACTGGCTATGACTGGCTTGTTGCACGACGGTAACATATGGGCGTCGGACTACACGGACACGATGTCTCAAATATGAGGGGTTTTGACTCCTACCGGCTCCTGACGCTATCCCTGGCAGCTCTGATGGCCAGGATCAGTAGTGTTGTGATGGAGGGTGCCCATACTAGCGCAGGAGCTGCCACACTCGCCCGGTGTGAAGTCGGTTTCGCTCGCTCCCCGTATTGGCCATGGGACCCCATCCGTATTGGCCGATGGGGAGGAACGGGGCGAGCCCCCTCCAACCCACCCGCGCTAGGTCTCGGGGGACGAAGGGGTCACACCCGACGACCTCGGGAACTAGCCGGGGCAGTCGGAGAAGTGGCAACTCCGTGCACTGACGGTCGGCCGTCAGAAAACACGCCTCCGTGACTCGGGTTACACCAATCCTCGCTACCCATCGCGGCCGAAGGATATCCACCTCGAGAACCTCGAGAACCTGGTGTGAAGTCGGTTTCGCTCGCTCCCAGCATCGCCATGGAGGCCTTCGCACGCGCGCTCCTCGGCGGCCTGGAGCGGGCTGGCGGTGTCTCCAGCGAGCTGAGAGAGGCCGCGGAGGAGCTGCTGCTCGGCGGCGAAGGCACGCTCCATCCGCTCGATCCACGCTGCCTGCCGTGGTCCGCGGGTGCGCCGTTCGCAGCGTGGCGCACCGCCGAAGAGGCGTCGAACACTGTCATGCTCGTGCTCGTCGACCTGAGCGGCGAGGCTGGCGAGGCGAGCTTGCCGCTCCCGGCCGACCTTCTCGGGCGGTGGCCGCGGCGCGCGCTCCTCCGCCTCTCGCAGCACCGCCTGGTCGTCGCTCCCGGGCCGCCGGGAGAGTTGACGGAGCGGTTTGGAGGAGGGTCGGGCGCCAGCGGAGAGGCGGCGCCGCCGCCGGAGCCCGAGCTGTACAGCGCCGACGAGCTCCGGCGCGGCTCTCTCACTGTGCGCGCGCCGCGGCGCGGCCTCGTCGCCTTGCAGCTGGAGGCGAAAGACGCCAGCTCGGCACTTTCCGAGACGCTTCCGGGACGCCTCCGAGACGCTCCCGAGACACCTCAGAGCAGCCTCGGAGACACGTTAGAGCGGGACACGCCAGAAGCATCCAGCCTCCGCCTCAGACACTTCCGAGACGCTTCTGAGACGCTTCCGAGACGCTGCTGCGAATCACAGGTGGCGGAAGGTGCGACCCACGGCGGCGAGTTGGAGCGCGGCGGCGAGTTGGAGAGCGGCGGTGCGTTGGGGAGCGGCGGTGCGTTGGGGAGCGGCGGCGAGTTGGAGAGCGGCGGCGAGTCGGAGCGCCGCGGCGCTTCCGCCTCCCTGAGCGGCGCTGGTGGCAGTGTCGACGGCGGCGAGGGTTGTGGCGGTGTCGACGGCGGCGAGGGTTGTGGCGGTGGCGGCAGCGGCGGTGGCGGCGGCGGCGATGGCGGCGGCGGCGGCGATGGCGGCGGCGGCGATGCTTCGTTGCGGGCGACGCATCTCTGGTGCAGCCGGCCGGATCGGCTGCCACGCGGTACGGTGATTCGCCGCGCGTCTGAGGGGTGTGCGCCTGCCCTCCCCCTTGGCACAGGTGCAGCATGCGGCGAGATTGCACGAGATTGCACGAGATTACCCGAGATTGCACGAGATTGCCCTCCCCCTCGTACAGGTGCAGCATGCGGCGGCTCGGCTGCCGCGCTGCCGCCGCCACCGCCCAGGAGGTGTGTGTGTGTGTGTGTGTGTGTGCA